CTTCCCGTACTTCATTTCTAATTTTGCTCTCATTAACTACAGTAAAGGTGAAAAGAGAGGATAGGTGAGAGAAATTGTACTAGTATTTAATGTTATCCTTAATAAAAACAAAAGCAAAATTTTGATATGTGAGAAACTTTTACAAATAAAAAATAATAAGACCATAGTAATACTTTTCAAGTGATTTATATTTTTTTTGGCAAAAAAAAAGTGATTTATATTTTGAAATTTGGAGCAAGCCATTTTTCAGAAGCTTTGGTCACCCCACCAAAACTGTCTATTTATGTTAAAACTTACAGAGGAAGTGAAAATAAAGCAAATCATTAATTAGAACAAACATATTTGCAAAAGTAAAACGAACACATAATCAACCATCAACAGAGGACATGATGGGTAAAAACATTACCAGTAATCTATCCATCTCAACTCACTAAAGAACAACAACCAACGTAGTTTTCAAGGACAGGCAATAAAATTACTTGAATTTTATGGCAGATTTAATGTTTTTAAATGTTTTCATTAGTACATATAAATTAGTTTGCAGTATCTTATAATAAGGACTAGAAAGAGTAAATCACTCTAGAAGAAAGGACCGATCCACCAAAACTGAAACTAAACTGTCTTATTCAGAGAACTATATGGTGAATTAAGTAAATCTCACCAACACACATGTCCCAATTACTAAAATCGAAGTGCCATCAAAACAATTAAATGGCTGAATAAGCAAATGCAATGAACACACACAATATTTGATCATACATCAATGATCAAATGGACAAACAAATAGATTCAATGGCCAATTGTAGGATGCCAAGTAAGCAGATTAATTAGCCAAGTGGAGCAATTAGTGTGCAAATCCAGGGGATTAGCAGGGTATATTTGATTGATTAATGATGATATAAGAAAATATCGATGAATATTTATTTCATATAAGAAATTGGAGTTTTCAAACATGTCGTTTTAGGAGACCATTGAAAATAAGTAAACGAGAGGAAGGATGGAGACATTGTGACTCGTGATGGTGAAATTGGCACTCATACGCAACGCACTAGCTTCTTGAAAGTGTTTAATAATCTCCAAGACTTTCTAGAGTCAGATTTGGCCTTTTCTCACCAACACTTGCTTCATAATGCTATAATAATAACTACTTAACCTTTTCTTGTTTTCTTTCTCAAGACATAATTATGTTTTATCGTGTACCATTGAGAAACGTTAATCTTACGCTAACTTGTTACCTCCCCACTCCCGTTTAGATGGGGAAAAAAATAGAGGGGAACATAACACTAAAAAGACTTTTTTTAAAAAAAAAATTATTATTTTAGGAGTTTTTATTTTCAGCATTTTCTCCATATTTTCTTCTCATTTTTTCCTTAATTTTTTAGGAAAATTTAAAAAAATGACACTCAAAGTTTCAAAACCCTAAAAGATCAAATGATTTTGCAAAATTCTAAATTAACCACCATAACTAAATTGAAATTTTAAAATTTTAGTGAATTTACAATATTATAAGGGCAATATTAGAAATTTACCAACATTTTAAAGTTTTAATTTAGTCATTATGAATGATTTAGAATTTTACAAATGTAAGTAATTTTTAGGTTTTAAAAATTCAAGTGTCATTTCTTTTTTTTTTCCGGGAACATTTTCCCTTCATTCAAAACCAAGTTTCCATATAAGAGTAAAAAAGTGTTTGGATGGAATCAAAATCATGATTTTAAAATTATTTTTACATTATACAAAGTAAATATATGAAAAATTTTATCTCAATTTGTCAAAAAATATTTCTGATATTTTTAAAAAATATTTCTGACATTTTTCAGACACCTTCTAAAACGCTCAGGCAAAAGGGGAGGGGGGAGATAGGAGTAGGACGCCATTCAATCGGAATCTTGGGCTCAGTAGTCAGTGTTGATGCTTTTTTTTCCACAAGAAAAGACAAGACCCACGGCAATGACTATTCACCGGTCAATTGTTGAATAATCTTTTAACATTACTAATAATTTAGTTTTTTTTTTTTTACCAGAACTAATAATTTAGCTTAATATTTTATAAGTACTCGTAGCAAATAATAAAAAGTTGTCGTGCGGTGAAGCCAACAGAATCACTAAAAAAATCTCATAACAAGTTAATAATTCTAGCCTACGAAATATTACCTTTAGTCCTAATTATAAGAACTAGTAAACTAATTTGAAGAGATTAAAAAATAAGTTGAGTTAATTATTTGTTTTAAATAGATGTTATCTTTCTTAAAATATCCTTATCAATCAAGTATATTGATTATAATTCTTATTATTAGAAGGGTTACTTTGAAAAAAAAATATAAATATATGATAAACAAAATGGATTAGGTTTTTATATTTAGAACCAAAATAAAAATCAAACAGGATTTTATATTAAGGACTGGATGTAGTAATATCAAAATGGATGCTTGTTTATTATTGGAACCTTTTAATGAATAGTGATCATATTATTTCTTTGAGATATTACAGTGACCTATCCAATAATAAATACTCCTTGGATCCTATTTATGGGTGAAAAAAGGAAAACAATTTTTATCCTATTTAGAGGACAGAAAGAAAAATTTTCATATAAATGTATAACTTTATCTTTTATTTATTATTATGTTGATTTTGTTCTCATTTAATATATTATATATTAAACAGGAATACTTTAAAAAATTATTAAATTTTAAATAAGAATTAATAAAATTTAAAATGTTTATTGATTTATGTGAAAAATGTTAGAAAAGATTTATAAGTAGGATTGGAGGAATACCTCACTTGTCTCTACATATAGTAGTATATTACTCCCTCCCCCTCAAGCTCTTCATGCAAGACCTCTAAATTTAAATTTTAAATTGGAAAAGAACTACAAATTTAATTTTCTCTGCTATATATGATTTAGAAATTAGAAGCAATCTCTTCTTCAACCAGATCCTAACTCTAGAAAATTTCTCTTTATCTTCTTCCCCATTCCTGGCTTTGGATCCTGCATGTCTTCTAAAATAGACACCCACCAAAATGAGTCTAAAACACAGAAATTTGTGCATAAGAAGAAGATCCTCAGTCAGGAAATGAGGACGATCAGATAGAAACGAAGGCACAGAGAGAAGTACTATGAAATTATTCGGATTATTGTCATCGTTCTAAACAGAAGAAGAAGAAGAAGAAGAAGAAAACAGAATAATCCCCAAATTTTGAGTCAGAAAATAATTAATTAAAGCAAGAGCTGAACATATCATCACATTCCTGGACAGTGGAGTGAGAATAGCTGAGGCTATAACATCAACACCGCACAACGAACAGATTAAAATTGAAGAAGAAGAAGAAGAAATATTAATAATGCATGACATAAACATTGTACTCAACAATGGCGTCCCTTGAATTGGCATCGAACCAGTGGGTTCGAGCTTCCACGTATCCCCTGGCAAATCGGAAAAGCCCACTTCCTCCGATCACCGGCATCTCCCTCACTTTGTTGAACACCGGATTCCTCCCCAACACCGTGATTGTGCTTCCGTTGTACTTCCCTTCCATGAACGCGAAATTCATCGCCATCATAAGCCCTATCTCGCTCTGAGACGCCGACGCGTAAAACCCCTGAGCTCTTCCCACCAACTGGGAGCTCAATTCCGGACCCATTGTCAGGGGGTTGTCGATCATGTTCAGCAGTCCGAACGCGGTGGTGGAGTTGATCGGCGACGGAACGACGGGGACGGAGGTAGGATTGTGGCCGCTGACAATGTCGTGCCAGTAGAATCGAAAGTGGCTGAGCTTTTCTTTCTTGAGATCGAGAAGCTTCCGATCGATCGGGCGAAAACGAAGTCGTCGTGGGTATGATGTTCAGCGACGACGGGAAAAAGAAGAGGAGCAGAGGAAATGAGAAAGAAGAGGAGGGCGAGGGATCGGGAAGCCATTGTTGGAAGTTGGAAGATGCTCTCCTGCGAAAAGGGAGTGCTGAGTCGAATGCTTTATAACCAGAAACGCCCATCGTAACTGGGAAGCCAAGAGAACAAAATCACACTTCCTTGTTTTGAGGAGACAAAAAACCAAAAAAGGTAACCAGAGGGTATTTTCACTAATATTTATATCCCCAATATAATTTAATATCAAATAGTTTTAATTCTTTTTTAAAAATCAAATCTTGATGAAATTAAGAATTGATCAACTTAAAAGTAAAGTATACTTCATTTGTAATTTTTTTTTTCTTTAAATCATCAATTATTACTTGGAAATAAAAATACATGGTATGCGAAAAATAATACATTTTATTCTACATCTAGGTCATATTCTTTTATTGTTTTCCGTGATTGATAATCCATAGATGACCAGAAAGAGAAAAGCTTCCTTCAAAAGTTATAACTATAACTGGTCATTTTCATTATGTATGATAGTTTACAAATAAATAAGGTGTTTATTCATAACTAATATTTAGAAATTTACAATCGATATTTGACAATTTGCTTGGAATTTGAGATAATTCCAACCATTTGTGAAGAGTGTGTGTGTAAGTTCATCAATACTTATTCTTAAATTAGTGCATTTAGGGGTGTTTGATTGGTGATGTTTATGTAAATTTTTTTACGTCTTTACTACGTATATCAAAAAATATCTTTAAAATTATGATTTAATTTTTATTCAAATACCATTAAATGATAAATGTCTCTGCTTTGGTTTGTAGATATGGTTTTTGATGCCTCTTGTCTTTAAAAAGACTACGAAGGTGTTTGGATAAAAAAAACCATGATTTTAAAAGTGTTTTTATGATTTATGAAGTAAATATATGAAGGAGTTTGTCTCATTTTACGGAAAAGTCTCAGAGAAACACTTATGAGCATTGCCAAACACCACCTCCACAAGTTAATATAGCCATGAAGGTCTGAATGGATTCTGAAACGCACAAGTTTATCTCTAAAAGATGAAATCATCAATCAGGAGAGTGGGGGGGTACAAATTATTATCATGATTATCATCCTTCTAATCAGAGGAAGACACTAATTCCCTCATTATGACTCAGAAAAATAATAATTAAAGCAAAAGCCCAACTCATAATCACATCCACAATAACTATGAGAGCCCTGTGACTATGACATTAACACCCAAAATTAACCCCAAAAAAAAAAAAACCGAAGTCTGAAATTAAATTAGAAGAAGCATCAATAATGCATAACATAGACGTTGTACTCGACGGTGGCGTCCCCGGAAGCGGGAGACCACCAGTGGGTTCGAGCTTCCGCGTATCCTCTGGCAAATCGGAAAAGCCCACTTCCTCCGATCACCGGCATCTCCCTCACTTTGTTGAACACCGGGTTCCTCCCCAGCACCGTGATGGTGCTTCCGTTGTACTTCCCTTCCATGAACGCGAAATTCATCGCCATCATAAGCCCTACTTCGCTCTGCGACGCCGACGCGTAAAACCCTTGAGCTCTTCCCACCACTGTGGAGTTCAATTCCGGACCTAACGTCAGGGGATTATCGATCATGTTCACCAGTCCGAAACCAGTGGTGGAGTTGATCGGCGGCGCGTAACGACTGGGACGGAGGTGGGTTTTTCGCCGCTGAGGATGTCGTGCCAGTAGAATCGGAAGTGCTCAGATTTGTTTCTTGAGACCGAGGACCTTCCGATCGATCGGGCGAACGAAGTCGTGTTCGGCGATGACGGAAATGAGAGAAGGGGAGGAGAAAGAGAGGAAAAGTAAGAAGGAGACGAGGGATTGGGAAGCCATTGTTGAAACTTGAAAGATGCTCTTCTGCCAAAAGGAAGAACGGAGTTGAGTGATTTATAACCGGAAAGGAAAACTGGGGTGGGACTGGTCAGACAATAAATATAAATTTTTTCTTTTTTTTTTTTCTTCTGCCATCATTTTCTTGCTTTATTAATTAATATAATCCTGCAGTCCCATTTATTATAAGATATTTTCAGCGTGTTATGTACATTAAAAAAATTAAATTTAAATTAACTCTCTTTTAAATACTTTTTTAATTAGAAATTTTAAATAATTAATTCACAGATAACAAATATTAATTAAAAGTAATAAATGATTAGAAAATTTATTTTATTTTCAAATATACTTTTATAATAAATGAGAAAAAGAATGAAAGAGAATGTGTAAGGAAATATAATAAGAGAGAGGATGATAAAGAAGAAAGAATAAATAATTAAAAAAACTACATTAAATATTAAGACATACTCAATTAAAACTAATAAAATAGACCATACTCTTATTTAAAATTTGAAGCCTAAATAGCACAGAGGAGGTCTAACAAATTTTCAGTTTTACTCCTATTTCATATATACATCTTTTAGAAAATAATTATCTGCATTATAACAAATTAAAAATAAAATAGTACATTTCTATTAAAAATTTAACAAAATGACTTATAGATACTACCAAGAAAACTACTAAAAAAAAAACCCTCTCATTGTTTTGTAAATAAGATTCGAAGAGTAAACTCATATTAGTATCTATATGAGAAGTTATCACGGATATGTTTAATAGCTTTTTTTCCATAAATAAATAAATACTACCTCTAGTCTTTAATATAAGATCTTATTTGATTTTTATTTTGATCCTAGATATAAGACTCCAATATATTTTATCTCTCATATTTATACATTTTTTTCCAAAGAAGTCATTCTAATAATGATAATTCTAGCCAACACACCTAATTAGCAAGGATATTTTAAGAAAAATAATACTTATTTATTACAAATAACTAACTTAACTTTTTTCTTTAATCTCCTCAAATTAGTCAACTAACTCTTATAATTAAGACCAAAGGTAGTATTACTTATAAGTCAGTTTCTAAATTACAAAAAAGAGATAAAAGTATTAAATTATTAAATAATATTTTTCATTTTTTAATCTTAGGATTAAATTAATTTAAGGGAAAATTACACTCAGGTCCCAGAGCACAGTTAATATAAAAAAGGTCCCTCGAAATCGCAAAATGATTCTGAAGTCCCCAGAGACCTGTGTGTAATTAATTCTAATTGTGAAATTACGTAGTTACCCCTGTTAATTTGAACCTATTTACAACCTCAACAGTGGTTGTTAACAACCTGAGAAGAGGTGGTTAACAACCTCAATAACGCCTCTGGCATTTCACAGAGTGAGTTGTCATGAGCACTGCCAAGGTTGTAAATCACGTCTTCTCAGGTTGTTAACAGCCACTGTTGAGATTGTAAACGAATTGCTGTAATAAAATTAGAACCTATTTACAATCTCAACAGTAGCTGTTAACAACCTGAGAAGAGGTGGTTAACAACCTCAACAACGCCCCTGGCATTCCACAGAGTGAGTTGTCATGAGCACTGCCGAGGTTGTCAATCACATCTTCTCGGGTTGTTAACAGCCACTGTTGAGATTGTAAACGAATTGCTGTAATAAAATTAATAGGGGTAAGTAAGTAATTTCAGAATTAGAATTAATTACACACAGGTCCCTGGGGACTTCAGAATCATTTCACGATTTCGAGGGACCTTTTTGATATTAATTATGCTCTGTGGGACCTGAGTGTAATTTTCCCTTAATTTAATATTTTGGTGCTCAAACGCCATTTTCCCCGCACTAAACTTTACATCGTCTATGCACACAGATGATTAGAAAGAGAACATTTTGATGCTTAAGCGTCCCGCCATCGGCCATGCTTAGCTTTCTGCTTGCTTTTGAGTTCTGATATTGAGACACTTTCTCATATAAAATTATAAGACACGCTTCTCTCCACAATACGTGGGAATTTTAAATAATTTTAAATATATAATGGGCACGATAAAATTAAAAACTTAGTACATGATGAAAATATTTAAAAGCAGAAAAATAAACATAATTCAACAACAAAAAAACCAACTTTAAAAAAATTCGAAAAAATAGTAAATTTGTAGTAGCCGTGATCAGAAAAATAAAATGTAATAAAGGCCAAATTAGAGGACAACAGAAAAACAAGTTAGTTGAGAATTAAATTGGGTTAAATAATTACTATTATCTCATGTCCTTAATACTACCTTCGATCTTAATTATAAGACCTCATTTGTAAACTATAAAAGAGATCTTAGAATTAGAACTAGAAGTAGTATAAATGCTAAATAACTAACTTGAGAAAATTAAAAATTTTAGTTAAGTTGGTAAATTACAACTTTTCCAAAATATCATATTTAATTATATGTATTAGGACTATTCCTTAGGATACAAAGTCGATTAATTAAACCTAATTCTGAACTAACTCTTATATTAAAGATTAGCGGTATATATAAAAAGATAAGTTGGCACAACATCATCCAGAAAAAAATCACTAATTACCATGTCAAAATCGTCGAGGAAAATCTTTATAAAAAATCATCAAGAAAAACATATAAGGTAGTTTGATCGCAGAGAGAAGATTGTTTAAAGTACCAATGAGAAGGAATGAGCATATATATAATCTTTAACCTTATAAAGACTACGAATAATATTTAAGGAAGTTATTAATCAAAATCTCTTGATTATATAATCTTTAACCTTATAAAGACCACTAATAATATTTAAAGAAGTTATTAATCAAAATCTCTTGATTAATAGCTTATTACAAGAATTAGGTTTAAACACGATGACATTTGCATTAGTGCAATCCATGCAACTAACCTTAATAATTAGCAGGATAAAATTTTTGCTGTTGTTGTTGCGTGTGAATCTGAGAAAAAATAAAATAAAAATTCTTTAAGATTGAACTAAACTAGTCAAAATATTGGAATATAAAATTACGTAATTCCAAAGCTATAGATGTGGCCACTTTTCAACCAGCCAGAAGGAATGTGGGAAAAAGTTAAGAATGTGGAAAAAGAAAAAGCAAATTGCCTGGTCCCCAAAATATATTAATCCGAAATTAAAGAAATATTATGAGAATAAATTGCAAGAAATGATAATAATAATAATAATAATAATAATAATAATTAATCATCCAATTAAAAACACTGAACTTAACTTAGAAGGCACCACCTATTTATATATATACTATGTTATACACATGTGACGTGAAGACGTAGGCTACATCATTATAATCTCCGAAGTCTGTCTATTTTCTTAACTGTCACACATATTCTTAGTTTATAAGTTAAAAAATCACTCATGATTTTAACTTCTTACGTAAATTTTCTATATTTTCACCAACCACCTGTTCTCTCCCTTTAATTATATATAATAAATTAACTATCTTTGATATATTCTGTTTAGTTTTGTTGGGATCCATCAAGAGGAGAATTTGAACAAGAGAAGGAAAACCACAACTAAAATTGATTAGCTAAATTATATATATTCAAATCCATCACAAATATAACACAACAACTACACCAACCAAAGTGATATAAATCAATCAGAAAACGACACCACGTGATTGCACAACCACCAAATAATAAACATATATTAATTCAAATCCTAAAATTGAATATTAATTAATCCTAAGATATAATTAATTACTCCTCCAATCCTTAATATAGGACCTAATTGTTAAGCTATTTTGATCCTAAATATAAGATATATTTATTATATTGATCAATTTTTCCTAAATTACCCCTATGATACTTCTTCAATCATGATCAAGTAGAAGAGAAATGGAGGAATTAAGGAAGTTGATTTATATATTTTAAAAAAACATGTCATATTTTATAATTAACTAACTTATCTAATTTTTTTTAATTTAATCAAATCATTAGATAGATTTTATATTAAGGACCTAAAGAGTATTGTCTTGCTTCGTGAACCTTCTAGAATTTCGCTGGCAAAACCAGAAAAAGAGGGAAAAGAAAGAAAGAAAGAAAGATAATCCTCCTCCATGACCATGCATGACCAAAAAAAAATAATTAATTGAAAGTAACAATTTAAATAGTGGTCAACAAAATCGTGGGCAGCAAGCACATTGAAGAAAAGTAGAAGGGCTCCTTTTTTCCAGGTCTGTATATGTTTTGTCCAATAGCAGTAAACCTAACACAGTGTGAGGAAATTTCAAAGACGACATTGTTGCATCCACCAAAGTTTGATTTTTTTTCTTTTTCCGTGAGGCCTCAAATTAAAGTAAACGATTATTGTGTACTAAACTAGGTCAAAAAAACCAAAACCGTTCAAGACTCAAACAAATTACCAAACCAATCTACGCTATAGTATAATTATAGCCATATGGTTTAGGGAAAAGTGAGCATAAATCTCTGATTGAAAATTTAATTAGTAAATATGACCTAACGATTTTGTACAACTTAACTTCTTTGCATGGAATTTGTCTTTCTTTATGTGCAATAATTTTTTCTTTATGCGATGTATAACTAATCAATTTATTTTGTCTAAATGAAATTCTTTTATGTGTAAGTTATCTTTCTTATGGTGCAAACTAATCTTTTATATCCAAATAATGGTTTTGTGTAAAATCATCTCTCTTTATACAATTTACCTTCTTTTGTGGCAACTAATCTTTACCTGTATAATTAATCATTCTAGGAACTATTTATTAATTAAATTGTAATGAGAGATTTACTTTCAATTTTTTCCTATGGTTTATGCCGTCTCACTAATTTTTTTTCCTCATTAATTAATTGCGGGGTTAATGTTGAAACATCAACGAGACATACACTGACCAATAATCTTATAAAACAGTTAAAACTGTAAGTATTTGTGCCTTTAATTCTCAAAAAGTGACAACAGATATGCATATATGTGTGAGGGCCTGCCGGCAAGACTAGTCAAATCCAATAAAGCGAGTGCATATACACACAAAGACACACTGTAGGAGTTGTTAATGACGTTTTAAT